TAACGTATTAATATATATATATATATATATATATATATATATATATAAATTATTTTACGAGTTTAATGTATATTATTTATGATTTACTTTTATTTTACAAATATAATAATAGTTGATATATATATATATATCATATAATATAATATATATAATACATATATAATACATATATTATTATATATGAGTTGACATATTTCATAAAATGTTTTGGTTAAAGTTTAACATTTTTTATAGTGAAAATAAATATAATAAATAAAATATAATTTCATTGATGAAAACATGACTGATTTATTAAGTCATAGAATTAAGAATATAATTCAAATTGATAAAAATAATAGAAGAGATTATCATTTCAAAATTATTAATAATAAAAGTAATAAAAATATATTATAATCAATCTCTTTATTCTTGTCATTCAGACAAATTTAACCTACTTATATGAAGACATATAATTATATTTTAAATATAAATTATATTTATTAACAAAAGTGTTTGAATATAATTTTTTAATGTGATTTAAGAATTTATAATTGTATTCAATATTAATGAAAAAAAATTTTTTCAATGGTTATAATTATAAAATTCTATGAAAATGATACAATGATATAAGAAAAAAAAAATAATATATATATATATATATCAAGAATCAAAATATTAAATAATAGTTTTAAGTAATAAACAAAAAATGTTTAATAATTTTATATTATTAAATATGCACATCACTTCCTAATATATATGTATTATTTTATTAATTTTGCCGTACTAACAACTCTGTTTTACCGACGAACTGCAAACAGCAAAACATATCATGGCTGAATATGGTGGTTTTGTGATGAACAATATCTTGAGTTGTATTAATACATTTTATGCTATTAAAAATAATTAATAGTGAAATTTGTGACACAATTGTGAATAAATTTTGTATAGTGCTCTTTATATCTATAGTACTTCATTGCATTCATTGTATGTCATAAAAAAGTATATGATAATTGGAACAGAAGACATTATTACTCTCTATCTTTATTAGTAGAAATTATAATATCTTACCATCTTTATAACATACTGTTATAAGTAATTGTGTAATTACAATAGCTCATATCAAAGTTATATTTCTATTTATGAATTTTCAAGTATCAATTTGATGCTTATGGATTTTATGTGTAAGATACTCTGAATTCTGTGATACGTAATAAGTAAAGTCTGATGCCAAAGTTACGAAAGAATAGGAGAATTGAAACTAGATGGGGTGTCAAGTATTATACAGCAGTGAAAAATGCTGTTTTTATAACACATAAACAGCCTTATGTGCCAACAGTACCACCCCCCTCTTTGAAGGAACATGTTCCAGAGTGTGAGACACTATATATGTGTACACAGTGCAAAGACTGGTGAGCTTATTAATACATTTATTATTTAATATACTCTTTCTTTTACAAATGTTGTACAATTATATAAAACTGGTATATACAAAGCATTAAATTATAATTAATTTAATTTAATTCATAATAAGATTAATTTTTAATAAGAAATAAAAATTTAACATAGAAATTTCGTTTTCTACTAGCTTCCATTTTCGAAGCAGTTTGGAAGATCATATTGCAAGGAAAAGTTGGATATTGGGATATTGGTGTCAGCATTGTTTTGTGACAGATTGTAAACATAGTTCTGTAGAAGGTACATTATGTTCAACATGTGTGCAATCAGATCGTGAGAAACGTTTATATTTAAGAAGTAGAGGTTTACGTAAAAGTCAAAAATTTGGGGTAATAAGAGTCTTTTACAATCAATGTCAATTTTTTGCACATTTGAAAACTCATAATGTAAATTTGGTATACATGGGTGATTTAATGTTAATGCCTATACCAACAAATATAAATGATTGGAATCCTGAAGTAGATGTAACTTGTGAAGCGCTCATGGAGCATACATTTATAATAAAAGTTCATATAATGGATTGGTTAAAAGATAAAACTATTAGTAACAATTGGTGGCAATTAGGGGGAGATAGCAATAATCCAGTTACTCTTATTCTTAAAGGTTATAAAGGTCGGTTTCACTTTAAGCCATTAGAAGTACCAATAGATGAGCAATTTTCTATTTTAAATTCTGTTCATTCTAAACCTAAAAATAGTAATGTAACGTATTCCGATATTGAAATACTTGATTCTATTGAAAATGTTGATAAAAGAGCGAGTCCATCTTCTACCATAGTTTCCATCTCTGATGAAAGTGTGATCGAAAATGAAGACAGTCCTTGCACGATAAACGATATTACTTTTGTTGATTGTGGGCCTACATCAAAATGTTTCGAACCTGAAATTCCATTAAATACTAAGAAAAAAAGAAGTACAACAGTTTCTGTAAAATCAATGCAAGATTCATCCGCCATTCTTCAATCTTCAAATATGGTTACTAATAAATTTAAAAGGAATAAAATAACACAATTAAATTGTATTTCACCCAATATGGTTATGTCCTATGGCAATACTATGATAACACCTAAACGCGATGTTAAAGATTTATCAAAGTGTCCTGCTAATAAACAATCTTTATCAAAGAATCTAACGCATAAATCTAATAACAGTTCACCGATTAAAATAATCACAGAAAGCAATATAGTAGAAATGGACTCTGACAAAAAGATGAATAAAACACTTCTCAATAATTTATTAATAGTAGAACCATTATCTAAAGTGCAATCTGAGCCATCTCGTGCAACAAAAACAGATACGTGCAAAAATAAGTTGGATAAATTTAACAAAATGTACATTCATTAACCGTCAATTCTGGTCAAAAAGTTGTCACGTTTCAAAGCAAAAAGCACGTTGATATCAATACAATTATTAACCAACTACCATCTCACATAATCAACAACAAAAAGATCGTTTTTATAGGACAAACTTCTGATAATGCAAATATTCATAATAATAAAGAGTCACACTCTAAAGCAGTAGTTCACTTAGTACCTGACGATAATGAGAAATTGTTAGAAATGAAAAAAAATCTAGAAAATGAGAAACTTTTGCAAATTAACAAAGATTATAATAAAAATATTTCTAAATCGAAAAATCAAACTGAGAGTAATAAAAACAAAGGGCGAGCTTTATCGAACAAGATTGTATATCAAAATGGGCGGAAATATATTATTAAACAATCATCGGGTTCCGCTAAAAATTTAAAAGCTACATCCAAAGGGGTGGTAGCGTCGATAAAAGATGCAGGAGGAACGATGCAATCAAAATCTACAAATGGTATCCCACCATTGATACCCTTAAATTCTACTGAAATAGAGAATATATCAAATCAGGAAAAGATAAATTCATTTAATAATGATATTTCCCCTTTAACACCTTCACCATCTCCGTCGGAATTATCGAGCAGTTCTAGCTGCGATGTTAATTCCAAACAATCCTCTTCATCTGTGAAGTGTTCTCAAAAGGCCGATACGTCTTTCTTAAATATCGAGCATAAAGATGTTGGTATCGATGTACAAAATACGAACAATTCGTTTGAAAGTTTATCATTCCATAAAGGAGAAGATCAAAACTTGTATCTCGATGTAAAATTTCTTAACCAGAAGCCAATTTATACTATTGTTGATACATCCACGATGATAACGAAATGTAAAGAAGAAATGTTAAATGAATTTTTTCATCTTCCTTATTTCGAATTAAAGAAACGTTATGACCATTTACAAGAAATTGGCGAAGAGATATCGAGAGTGATGAATTTCGTGACTGATAATGTAATCAAAGAAAATTTAAAAGCCGTTCACATCTTGCAAACCGTATTGAAACATTGCATTGATAAATGCACTGAAACGAGCGATGACACGGAGGAGAAAGATATACCATTAAATGATTGGGAATCCGAGTATCGAGAAACGAATGAGAAACCTATATGCAAAGCGTGCAATAAAATTACAAAACCCAAGTATTATATTCCAGGATTTTCGAAACCTGCGGGAAACGATATTTATTGTTCTTGTTATAGGCACGTGTGCCACAAATGTCAAACCTACCAAGGTAATTCAACGCGTTTCGTAGCTCATCAAACGTTTCACGACAAAGAAAAACCGTATTTATGCCCCGATTGTTATCGTAAATTTACGACGTTCAAATCGTTAGAAGTTCACACGTGGACCACTTGTTTTCACACGCTAAAAAAACGTGTTCTCGGTTGCAAGGTTTGCGAAATAGACGGTTTCCAAGATATGGAATCTGTCGCTAAACATTTTGCTATTATGCACAGTCACAATAAAATAGTTTGCGACAAATGTTACATCGTTTTACCCTCGTACTCCGAGTACATAAAACATCATAAAGACAAACATTTGGATGGGGATGATTATCATCCTATAAGATTGGTATTGTGCAAAATTGGACGATGCATCGTACGTTGCGAAGATTACATGTTGCACATGGAGAAGCATCTGGTCGTGCAAAGATTGATATGGTTCAAATGTCCATTTTGTATGTTTATCCACGTAGAGCCGAAACGAATTATGTCTCACCTGCAAAGTGGGCACGTGACACGTTTAAAGGAGCTTATAAGTCACGAGGTGTTGTTGAACGTTTTGCAAGTAGAGAACGCGGCAAATTTGTTGAAGAGTAATTTGCAACAGAATAAATTCACGAATGCAAACGCGGAATGTTGCGAGGACGGGACCGTTATGCCTAAGATTATAAATACTAGAACTATCACGTCCGAGGTATTTGAAAATGGGACAACTCAACAAGGAACGAGCGATCACGCGATGAATGACGACGCCCCGCAATGCTCGAAAATTGTTAATTCGGAATTTTCTGTAAAATCGAGCAAAACTGTACCGAAGATACTCGATGTCAGGTCAATGGCTGACTCGGTATTGGATAGTTCGAAACACGAGGAAACTGAGTTAACGATAAAATTTACAAAAACGCAGGAGGAAACGAACGAGGAAACAATGGAAGAAAACGAAATAATCAAAAGGATTGAAAATTCGAGGACGGAAATTACATTGGAAGAGAATGTAACAACCACGATAAAATTGGAATCCAAGGAAAGTAGCGATTTATATATAGGGGATAACAAATCGATTTCAGATATGTTGGACGTTGAATCGTTTCAACGAGATATTGTCCCGAAAATGATCAAAATGCAAAGCGATACGAGTGATGCTGGGAAAAAGGAAATATCGTGCGAAAAGGAAAAAATGAAATCAACCGAAGGGGAGAGTGAAAACGAAACAGTGCAAGTTGAGAAAGAATGCGAGGGTGAATCGATGTTGAAGCCTCCTCCGCTTGCTAGAATTCCTTCGCACGTATTCGAATCGAATCGATCGAAGAAGATTGGACAATCGACGAAGGGAGGAGGGAAAACGACAGTATTTTTACGGGATCCGAAAATTCCTCGACGAATCGCACTAAACTGTCCGACCAATTTGAACGAGATATTCAATTTTTCGTGCCATTTGTGCGGAGAATTAATAAATACATCAAGATCGATCATAAATAACCATTTTCAGAATAAACATTCGCAAGAGTGTAAATTATCGACGATTACCACAAATTTGTTACGTATATCGCCAGAATTCATTAACGGAGGTTACAAAGACTTATTGGATAACAAGAAACGCAAATCGGACAATTCTATATCGAATGCGAAAAGGAGACGACGATGGAATCCGAAAAAATATACGGATGGGAAACACGCGAATTTTAGCGGAGTCGGGCTGTGCGTAAAACAAGTAACGGCCGAAGATAGCGAGGGTAATTTTAGATGTAAAAAATGTGATCAACGTTGCTCCAACATGGCAAATTTGAGAGAGCATATCGCTTCTAATCACAGAATAAAAGGCCGATATTTGGTGTGTTTGGAATGCGGGGATAACTTTGTGGTCGCGCCAAGCCTGCAAATGCATCTGAAAGCATTTCACGGGATAGAGGATCCTATTACGTACATGGCGCAAAACACGTTATACGCCCCTGATAACGTGGACGATCTTGAAACTGGAGGGAAATCCATCGAGGCGAATCAATGCCACGTTTGTATGGCCGTTTTCGAAGATAAGGCAGCGGTCGATAAACATCTTCGAGTCCATGGAATGGCATTTTTGAATCGTAAAAGGATAGAAGCGCAAAATGCATTGAAAAGTCCGGAGAAAAAAGGGGAATTGGAGGAAGAGAAATATACGCCGAGTATTAAACCAAGTCCAAAAGAATCGGCTCGGAAGGAAAAACCAGCGGAAACTATATTAGAAAAAATTACCGTAAGTCGAGTAATGTGTAAGATTATGTATTTATTTCAATATTTATTTCATAACGCAAACGATCTTAATTTTTAATCGTTTTTTCATTTCAGGCAACCATATAGCTAATGGAGGCACGATTTTCAAAGACAGTGTCGATCGAAAAGTAATACACGTATTTAATAATTTCTAGTTTTTAATCAATATGATCGTGAATCTGTGATTTTAATGTTTTGTTTAAGCAATGAAAAAAAAAAAAAAAACGTTTCCTCTTTTATATAGTAAAAAATAACAAAAAGTATAACGTTGTTAGTCATTATAGTATAACGTCGGGGGGGGGGGAAAAAAAAAAAAAAAAAAAAAAACGTAAAACTTTGATCAATGCTCAGCTCGGTATATATATATATATACCTATTAACACATTGCGTTCCAAAATTCTTTTTTTATTGTTGAGATTTATCGCATAGCTCTATTATTTTAATAATAATAATAGTTGTATCACATACATGCTTACAAACCAAACGCAATGTGTTAATTATTTGCTTAGATAACATGGAACATAGAACATCTTTGTAAATATATACAAACTGTAACTGTAGACAAATGTATAATTTATTTTGTTAGAATTTCTTTGTTAACGCGTATTCAAATAATCGAGTTATTCTATGTACATCGTTAAAATTTGTTTTTCTTAACTTTACGCAAATCTTGCAGCCTAACTATTCTTCAAAGTTTCATATTCCATCGTATATAGATAATTGTATATCTATTACATCCTTCGTATGTATGAAATCCTGTACTTGCAATTGCAACATGATGTAAATAATTGCCTTGTTTTGAAAAAAATATAACTTTTTGTACTCTACTAATTCATACGCATCGTTATATCTAAAAATAGATAAAAATAAAATATTCTGATTTACTTTCAAAAAACTTCTACTTATCCTTGATAGACAGGAGGAATGGAATGGAAATGATGTATTTTACATACAATAAGTAGATTATTAATTGCACCGACAAAGATTATTGCTTAGCGATAAAGTTGTAGTAATTCAATGATTGACACATCGAGATACTCGAGATACGTGGAGAATTATTTCCACTTGTTATTCTCATTTATCTATATATATATATATATATCTCTCTCTCTCTATATATATATATTTATGCATGTATTCTTTATATTATATACGTACCAGTGTTAAAATATCAGTACGTCAAGTTCGAAGATTTATAGAGGAAATCAATATGTTTATTCTTACGATTTTTCATTTTACGAGAAGATATTTTCATTTTCATTATTACATCGAGTGCAGGTACTTGAGGAAAGGTATATGGGATACTGAACACTTTAACGTTGGACCTGTAAGAGTACTCTCAGCATTTCCTTCGACGACTTTACGCGATTAAGTCGTTTAATATTACGAAAAAAAATAGAGAGAGTAATAACAAAAAAAAAAAAAAAGTAACAATTCGAATCATTATATACACGTACGTTTAAACGTATCGGCAAATAACTTTGAAAATTCGAGCATGAATTCGAGAAATCATTCATCCAAGAACGAAGAAGAAACGACTATTATTAATTATTTTGGTCCCTTCATAATGTGATAATCCATTAATGCCGATCAACCGTATACTTTTACGGGCCCCGTAATAGTCTTATTATGTGTTTGGCACGATTACTAAGGAACGCACAATACGATAAATTTAAACGATGATTCTCAACTCTCACGCTAAATTTTCGCATCGATCGATAATTTGATCTTTCGTGTATACGATTACTGAGGATTGTCATGTACACAGATGATTACATTTTTTTTTTTTTGTTCTTTTACATCCCTTTTTTTTTTACATCCTTTCAAACAATATAATAATAATAATAATAATCTTAACTCATAAGAACGGGAAGAAAGGAGAAACGAATAAAAAAAAAAAAAAAAAAATATTAACCACGCGTTTTCAGATATTCGTTTTTCTAGAAATTCACGCGTGTTTCACGCTCTTTTATCGAGATTCTTCTTCCTCTTGATTAGAAGAGCGTACACGTAAATACGTTCAAATAGAATGGAAGAAAAAGAGAGAGGAAAAAAAAAAGAATATCCACGGAGCAGCGAGTCATTCCCCCCCCCCCCCCACGCTTATTATTTTAATCTACGCGGCAGTTGATTTTCGTACGATTTCGCGATCATCCATCTCTTCGGGAGGATTGATCACGCGAATTACGGGGCTCGTGGGTCGAGAACAATCCGATTTCTCGATCAAGTTTGTGCCGGTATTTAACCGGGCAGATTCAGGAGTGGATCCGTTTCTGGAGGAGGACGCGTCGTTCGTCGCGCTCAACGCCCTGACGTGGAACGCCGACGACGAGGACGAGGACGAGGACGAGGACGAGGAGGAAACGGAACGAGCAGTTTTCACGTCGATAGGGCTACCAACATGGCTGCTACCATTCTCTTGGAACAATTTCTTCGAATGGTTGGCGTCATCGGTATTTACATTCGATTCCGCCATAACGGTCGAAGCTAATGATTCCGCGACTTTCTTGCCCCGAACAGTGTTCCCCAATTCGCTTAATGGTATTCCGAATTCACGAGTTGCCCACACGTCGCAGCTAGGGCTGCACGACGAGCCGCGAGGGAGTTGGCAGACTTTGCTTTTTCTCGCGTCTTCCATGGAATGCCATCGATGAGATTTCGAGATCGACGATCCCGATGCAATCGTGTTCAAACTGTTTGTCGGCACTATCCGATGAGGAAATCGGGGAGATCCTCGAATTTTTTCCCGCGACGACGTTTGGCTGGTGCTCGCTTCTGCGAATTCGAAGAGGATCGAGTTTGAGAAAAGGAAACGAACGGTGAAAGGTAATTAATAACAATTTTCGGGAGGACAGTTTTTCACTTACTGGCCGGCAAACTAAAATTCACTCTCGGCTCGCTGTACTCTTTACGATGTAACCCCAGGCTTAATCTGCGATCCTCTTCGCTAGTAATACTAATTATTGGTCCTGAGCCACATCGAGGATGAGGGGAACGAGCGCCTTGGGCGTTAACCTGACAGGTAGACGCGGCTTTCGTGCCTGGCACCAGGCCGGCGATGTAGCCCATATGAACCCGTAACGCCGATGCCACTCCTACGGAGGATTCCAATCCTTAGAAAGCGTATCGCTTTCTACCCTCTTCTTCTTCTTCTTCTTTTCTTTTCTTTTTTTTTTTTACGTACCCGTGAACGAAGCGATCGAGGTTTTTCTGCTGCTGGGACGACTGCCGAAAAGGCTGAAGAATCGTTGAAAAACCCCTAACGATTTGCCCCTTCCGTCTCCCTTCGTTGATGAAGTTTGTAAATGTCCGCCAGACTTCGCCTCCCCGCGTCCGGCTCCAAATCCGGCTGACTGCTAAACGCTACAGTACCGCGTCGTATCCCTGATTCAAACGTATCATCGAATTGATTCGATTAAATTATTTCTCGATTCGAATTCGAGTGGGGGAAGCAGCGAAAGCAGGCGCTAATAAGATAGGCGCAAGAAGGGGAGGAAGGAGGAGAAGAATCGCGTTTCTTCTTTCTTCGAAATAAACTTCTAACGCGTATTTTTTACACGCGCGTAAAATTCCGTCCTTCGACGCATCTACACCGATATATACACGTGTGTGTGTGTGTGTGTGCAAACGGTTTGCTTCTTGAAGAAACAAATCTTGGTTGGAAATGGGAATCATGGTTGGAACGTTTGCACATCCGTTCGATCGACTCGATATCGTTCAACTTCTTCGCGATCGAATACGTTTGCGACATTAGTTTCGAAACGTGCAATTTAACGTGCAGAGAATAGAGAGGATGTACTGTACATATATCCCTGTCAGGGATTTGTCCGAACTTGTCAAGGGATTTGGGATTCGGAGCTCGGGGAAATACGAGTGCAGCCTAATATCTCGAATTGCAGCAATTAATATATTACAATTATGTACGAACTACATTCTCAAGCGGTTGCAAACTATATTATATAGAAATACGGTGACAAAACTTGGCCTCCGTTGGTAGCCGTGTGGTCAATGGACATTCGTTAAATGTTGAAAATGTTGCTCGGCAATCCAATTTTCGTGCAATTTTATTCGTAAGTCTTTTCTTTCCTTCTTCTTTTTTTTGTTCAAATTGATTCGAATTGGGGAAAAAAAAAGAAAAAAAAAAAAAGGAACGGAGAAAAAGATTTCTCGAGAAGTTTCATACAATTTTCTTAATTATTCTAATTAATTGTCTCCTCGACGCAAGCAAAACGTGGTGGTAAAGGATCGTTGCAAACAATTGCGTGCAATAAACGGAATTCTGTCACCTTTCTCCTACACCTGAATGATGAAAAAACGATGAGGATAATTATGTATCGATCCTTCTTTCTCTCCTCGATGAAATAATTTTATTCATCGTGCAAATTAAGCGCGTTGGGAAACGCGAGAAGAAAGAGGAAAAGTAGTAAGAAAGAGTAAGAAAAAGAGAATGGCGAGAGAAATTTATTTGCACGATGAACGTTGGAGCAGGGCGGGAAAGAGTCTCGCTCACCGGATGAATCAGCGGACGGCCAGCTAGCCCTGGGGATGACCGGTGGGAGGACGCTGAGCAACAACAAAGGTAGACCACCCCCGATGCTCGGATTGCGTTGCGGAATCGATGCGCTCGACGAAGCGTGCGATGGTTCAACCGGTTCCTGTGCCAATTGTTTCTCCAATCTGGCCAATTCCAGCTCCAGCTGTGCCATTTCACGACGGTACACACGATTCTGCACTTCCACGCGATATTGAAGCTCGCTGTTGCCCAACCATATTTAATTATTTTCGTTAAACGAAGCGATTCGTCTATTATTTTCGATAAGAGAAATCGTCCCAACCATTATATTCCGAAAATTAAAGAGCGGAGCGGAGAAACTGGAAAACTTACGTTCTATCGTCGGTCATGAATCTTCTCGTGTTGCATTCGATCTTTAAACCGAGACTTTGCACCACGGGATCGGCCCTCTCGCCTGCCAAAATGTTGGTAAGCTGGGGAAGAAAGAGCAACGCGAGTGTCGCGGTCGTGGAAGCCAAGATCAGAGCGGTGATCGTGACGAATGCCAGTGTTGCACGGTCGGACATCAAATTCGCCAACACGACGACAATTCCCGAGGTGATCACCACGAAATAAACGCTCATCCCGATATATTGCGAGTCGTTCAAAGCTGGTATTTTCACGTGTCTGCAATTGTAATAAAAATAGGGAAGGATTGCCTTAATTTACGACGAAAATATAAATGACGAAGAAAAAAAAGAGGAAAATCGATATCATAACGTCCGTCCACCTTGTTTGTGATATATCAACGGTTCAACGATACAATACGCTCCGGTAAAGAGAGGAAATATCATTGTTAACGAACGCCCTAATGGCATCCCTCATTAAACTTCAATTGTATTTCAACTCCGCCTCTCCAATTCCAAGTTGCATTCCAGATTTCCCGGAGCGTTTGTTTTAACGAACTTCTCCTCGCGAATCGGATTAAAAAAATTGCCCCTATTCGAGATTTATTCGGGATAAGTCGATATCTTTACCTCGTTTCCCAAGCCATATACAGGCCGACGACGAGCAACAGACCTTTGTAAATGTAAAGCGCCCCCAACCAGCTGTTCGTGTGTTGAGAACGACACACCTCTACCTGCATTGAGAATGCACAATGATTTAAACGCGAAATTCTCTTGGTCGTGAAAGAAAGAAAGAAAGAAATTGGCTTTGAAACAAGCCAAGCCGTATAAAATTTCTTCTCGCAAACCCCTCGTTTTCCCTTTCGATACCTGAGGTTGGTAGACCACTCCTCTATCTTGCGGGTTCATCTCCAGAGTTAAGTTTCGAAGATGACGTTGCATCGGGTCGAAAGTCACCCACAGGGTCACCACGAGACCGTCTATCAGCAAAAGTACGCAGATCAAGCTTATAAGCTGGGTATCCTGAAGTAGCTGCAACCGCCAAGATATATATATATCGCGTCGTTTATTCGTCTATATGATATATATATATATAGAGAGAGAGAGATAGAGAGAATTTTTTTATCACATTATCATACCTTGTTCTTGACAACACCGCTTCTACTTCTCGTGAAAATTCGATGAACGCGATAGGTTTTGGTGAACATCGATCCGAATGCCAGGGAAAAGCCCGCGGACAATAAATACACCCTCGCCTGGAAAAGCGAAGCGAAGCGTTACGAGAGATATAAAAGTTTAAGCCGGGAGATTTAAAGATAGGCGCGCGGAGGAAGAAGCGGAGCCGATCGAAAAGTAGAAAATAGAAAGGAACAATGCTCACGGTGCATACTGTAGGATAGTAATGATTGCTGTCGGGAAGCGTGGCGTGATCCAAGCCCAAAAGTATGACCGCACCGTAGACCAGACCGCAGCCAACGGCAGCCATGTTGTTGAGCCTAGGGCTCGAAAGCTTTATACTCCTGTCGATCAACGGAGATGGAATTGGAAACGGTGCGGAATAATAGCGATAAATAACGAAACTTACTTGTGCTTGCGAAAGTGCAAATTGAACGCCAAGAAAGCAAACGCTAAAGTGACACCGATGCTGGCGAGGCAAGTAACCGCTAGAAAAGCCGCAGGTGCTACCGTCACCACCCTTAACCTGGTCGTGAGAAACAAAAAGAAACCCATTTGATGCTGTTATTCTCGATAAGAGTTACGGCGGATAGGCCGCGTCTATTTATCCCTCGTTACATTGAATCGCTCAAAATTCTATCTAAAAAAACGAAAAAGAGAGTTATTTTTCAAATCTACGTTACTTAAACAAAATCGTTATTAGCACCGATCACGTCGATTATTAATTAGATTAATTAATGGTTAAAAAGGATTCACGCGTATTCGAGCGTACATGTCTCTTTCGCTTGTCAATCAAAATTTGAAACACGTCCAACGATTTATTTATTATTATTGCGAATGCATATATTTGAATATATATAAGACGCGATTTGATCACTGTAAATAATGCACGGACAATGTAACGATCCGTTCCATGTTTGAATTGACCGTACGTTTAATTGCCAAGCAATGAAAAGGCGGTATACGAATCGATATTATAATTATTCGAATATATAATATAATTAGATTTCAATGCGTTTACAGATGCGTTTTATTATCGTGCGGAAATAGATAGGTAGAAAAGTACAAACCGGAAAACCCTTCGAGCTGCTGGGGGATGTCCGTCCGGCCATCTCATCATTTCGCATTCCGAGCAATTCATTACCAATTTTCCATCCTCCGGACTGAAAATCGCTACCTTTCTCTTAACCCCTTGTCCTAGAACAACGAGCGAGACTCGTGATAAGAAATTTGGCCAATAAAAGCAATGAGCCTGACTCATTGGTCCTACTTCGTTCGAATCAAATGATAAATCGTTTTTCTTCACCGATGAATCGATCATAAAAGTTATTAGTTGCGCCGATACAATATACGTGTCATATAAGACGCATACATACGGCGCGACCGTTTATTGTTATTGGCCCGAGAAATCGGGAGTTAGCGTGGCCTAGAACATTGTTGAGAATTCCTTCCGTTTTAGAGGCTGCTTCTAGCAGCCCTCGACGAATCAAATAATCGGTCAAGTTACGCTATCAAACAACGTGAGACGCGATATTATTTCTTTTCGTTTCGTCCAATTTTAATTTAGACGAATAATAGCTTCGCGTAAAATAAATTAAAATGTTCAAGATTTTAATCTTGGGAGGAACGCTCGCTTTTAATTATTTTAATTTTTGACGGTCCCTCCCCTCACAAATTTATCTCGTGTTACGAAATATATATAATACGAGGAAAAGAAGAGCGTTGAATTATCGAAAAAGCGTTTAATTTCTCTCTCAACCATTCGAAATCTTTTTCCCTATAATATATCCTCTTTACTCGTACTCCACTGCACTCGTACGACGCGGCCGATAAAGTTGAATACATATATCGAACTCGCGAAGAGAGTGGACAAATCGAGATTTAGGATTCTTGCCTTCGTCACGAATTGAAAATTAGAATTTATGATATTTCCTTTTTTCAAAAAAAAAAAAGTTAGAAAAGTAACATTTTAAGAAAGATTCACTTTGGAAAATTTTGAATTAAGCTTCCGTCAATTTTTTCCGTAAACAAGAGGACAGATATTCGTTTATCGTATATATATATATATATATATAATATCGTTAGTTTTGGAAGCTATTTTATCGAGCTATCGTCTTCTCGATTTACAGACGAGACGTATTGGAATTTTTTTCTCATCAGCTTAATGACAGCACACGGATAATAATACTCATTTTGTTCCATTTTCGTCCTTTGTATATATGCGGTTATTTTTCAATATTAAAGATAAAGGAGGTCGATCGATCATTTTTTAAGATTTCCATTCACGGAAATTATACACCGATATCGTTTGCCTTTCGAAAGCCTTTTCGTAAGCCTCTCGATGCATTTTTCATTTTAATAAATATTGAAAATTAAATTATTTTTCTCCTCAAATTACGAGTGAGCTCGTAACCGAGTTCTCGAATTTTTTGCGAATTTTTTGCGAGATCGTAAAATCTTGATCAGCCGCCAAACTTTTATTCGAACGTTATCACAAATGTTATTATTTGTCCTGTTATCAACGATACGAACGATTGCTTTTTTTATTCTTGCTTTCCCATCGGTCCAAGTTTTTCCATCTTTAATCGATCAGTCGTTTGAAACAAAACAAAAATATACGATGATTTATCGCGCGCTACATTTGTAGTATGAAATTTAATACAGGTATTTACAGCTTTGCTCTCTTTCATAAATGCTAGCGACTATTTCAATTCTCCTCCAACGTGAAACGAACGTTCGCGATTTATATTTTCCAGTTGCGCGCCTTTTCCAGCTTTTTACGACTATACATGTTTGTTCTGTTGTTATCATTTGTTCATAGCGAGCCTTCTCTCTTTTCACGAGGAATAATAGACCAAGTGAAACGATACAATAAGGGAAAAATTGTTTCAACTCGAAGGAATGAATCATCTATTCGACGAATTATTCTCTCGTACCAAGTTGATCGAATTAAAGATCGAAATAGATTTTAGAGAATCGTTCAAATTTTCGTAACGATTTTCTTTGCTCGAAAACAAAAGAAACGAAAAAATCCAATCCCCTACTGCTGTCGAATGCGTAAAAGAAAGAGGATAAGAACAAATCTTTCCTTCCTTCTTCTTTTCTCTTTTTCTTCGTCGTTGTGATTATAGTTGAAAATTATGTAAATGTGTACGAGTCTAGTGCTGCAAGATTTGATGGATTACCGCCGTAGGATCTGTCGACTGGTTAGATGGATGAAAGTGAAAATGGTGAACCTGGGATGAAAAAGATGTACAGAATAATGAGAAGTGGAAGCGGAGGTAAAAGGAGGAAGAAGGTTGATGGTATCCAATTTGTCCGAATCACCCAAGCTTCTTTGCGAACATCGTCCGCCTATCGTTGGCGGAAATTCAGGTGCCAGTTCGTTGACTTTATCAGAAATCGATAAGTTGATGAAACGCGGTTCGGAAAAAGAAGCCGCTACTTCGAAGCTCGAGCAAGGTTAACGAGCTAAACGATCCACCGTTAAATCACCGTGAATGATCAATGAATATAAATCGCGCAAAAATGTTTGGGAATTTCGCTCCATTTCCTCCCTTCTTTCCAAAGAGTTATTATTATTATTATTATTATTATTATTTTCGAAACAATTGTTCAAACAATTTTTAAAGATCGTTGAAATTTGGAAAACGAAGAAGAGAATAAAGAGAAAGAAACAGAGAAGATGAACGGAATCTTAATTCCGTTGAGAAGCGTTCGCAGAAGCGACGGTTTTGCAGATAACGCGTGAAAGCGGATAGCGCGATAAGGTTGTGAATAAAAAATTAGTCGTCCATTAGAAATGAAATTAAAAGGGATGAAGTAATTTGGATGGAGGAAGGCGAGTGTCGTTGATACGAGGAGCGCATCGAGGTCACGCGGCACGAAAGAAGGCTTAATTTCACAAAGACCTGCACGTCCGCTCGCGGAGGATGGCGTTTCGAGGCCACTCGAACGTTGCGCCTGCGTCGCAAGAATTTATCCCCGAGATTGTTTGTCGAAACGGCGTCCAAGCGAGCGAGAGTCCAACTTCCGACAATTTACACGGGTGACATTTGTCGAGATAAAATTCCCTGTAAAAAGTTTAACACACGATATATTCATTGGCCGTGTTGGACGTTACCTCTCGCTCGGAATGACGATTAATACCCAGGCCCCGAGTAATACATTCCGGCTCCCCTTGTTTTCTATCTTCGGTTTTTCTCCTTTCTCAGCCACGCTCCTTTTCGCTGCCCGATTCCTCGGGGTCCTCTCTCATTAATTATTCATCGGCTTCTTACCGACACACACGGCCGGCAGAATGGCAAACATCTTTCCCCGTGTGTTCGCACGAACCTCGCGCCGATCTCGTTTCGTGTTTTAGATCGCCGCGGATCGCGTCCTTCTTACGCTCACTTCCCACGCTCGTCTCATTTCTTTCACCGATATTTCCCAAATGTTCCATCGAAACGTTCCCTATCCCATCCCCCGATGATCCCCCTTAATCGATCGTTATCGCCGTTTTCAACAGCGCCCCATTATCACCCGTGTAATGTAATTAAATTTACTCACCCTGCATCTGATAGAACGCCGTGATGCCTATTCGATCGGCACCGTCGAACGACACTGGTCCCTGGAACCAATCGAACGATCGATTCAATTCGGCGCAAAAGATTGAACTTGCCTCCTCGAATCGAGCCACCGACATTTTCCCCTAAGAGGTATCGATAAGAAAGATAAGGGCGCAACGTTTCGTACTCCTTACCGAAACTCCGACAAAGCGCAAAAGTTTCAACTGTTCCAATAGATGCAACGCGATGTCCTTTCTAGCGTGCGTGTACTGGGCTAAGCTGATGTTATCCCGGTTCAAGATAGCCTCGGTCTTTTCCAACGCGACTGCCATAGCCCAGACTGCGTCATAGGTCTGCCCTGCAAACTTCGAATACGTCACGCCTCTGCTCGCCAATTCCGACAAGAAATTGTTGTTTGTCTGTGGCAGAAAATATTATCGCCTATTGTAAATGCTCGTCGATTTTTCGACGATTTTTAAAGCGATCTCGCGTTTAAAAAGAAAAAAAATGCGGGATCTTTCCGCGCTCAGACAGATATCGCACGCGATCACAATGCAGCAAACGGTGTCTCCCGTACGCGATAAAACATTCAGCTTCCCCGCTCGTCCCGTTTCATTCCTCAAAATATGCAAATCGGGCAACTGGCACACCTCCCTTCTTTCACTTTACACTTGCATCTATTTTTCCACGCGCCCGCGTAAATATTCGATACAGTTGAATTATACATATGAATATATTGTTGGTGTTCGAAAAAGTGGAAAAAAAAAAGGGGGGGGGGGTCACGAGCGATCGAGACGAAAGAGAAATATGGAGGGTGAAGCTCCACGCTTCGAAGAAGCATCACGCCTCGTTCTTCGGAGTTTCTTCCCTCCGTCAAATGTAATTAGCGACAGTTCGTCGTGAAGCTCGATCGCTCGAACGTGGAAAATTCTATATCTATGGCAAGATTCCGCCCACGTTATCGACCTTTCTTCCAACAGGCGACGCGAAAACTAGGCCTGCGACCGATTTTTAAAGAAGCTCGGCGTGTATTTCGCGTGTATCGGTTAATCGGTTAATCGGCCTGATTTATACGTACGAGTCACGTAAATTTACGATTTTTCATTCCGACTTGCTAGGTAGATTTATGTTTTTGCTTGAATTTTTATTACGCTGCGTTAGTTTTTCATTTTTATGCGTCGTAGTGCTGTCCGTCTGTTGAACCTTCCGCCGCGCAGTTTTGCTTTTTTTTAGTTAGCTACTTTTTAATAATTTTGTGAAAATGGCAAGAGTTTTCTGCGGAAAGAAATTTATGCAGATAAGTTATTCGATGTGGGAAATGATAATGAATCGGAGAACTGGAACGAGGAAAGTGATATTTCCAGCGATGACAGTGAAATTAAAGTATAGCTGCCTGAAAAAGTACAGATAAGATATATGTCAATTCTGTCAGTTTCCAACGGTTCACAAGGATGAAGTGATGTTTCACGAAATAGCGTTGATTTAATAAAACTGCAACTGCTTTTTAAAACCGTACGTTTATTTAATTGTCTCTTGAAAAGCGGCCGGAAACCGAGAAAGAGCAACCCGCCTTTCCGTTAAGCGTTAACGGAAAGAAAAGTTCGGTGTGGATGAGGATGAATTATCGAGGGTGAAAGACTTTTTCCTATCGCGAAAAGTCTATTTTAATCGAGGAAAATTTCCCCAAACTTCCATTTCTCCCCTTCGTCCTTTACGGGCGAAAGTTTTATCTAAAAAAGAGTGGGCAACTGGAAAAGTACTCACCAGACCGGACGAAGTAATTTCGTTTTCTAAGGCGGAGTCATGACTGTTGACGATAATCGAACCATTCAAAGTTTGATTCAGCTGCGAAAGCGTGCATTCCTCCTTCGAATTATTCGGCGTTTTCAATAGCTCGATCGTGTCACTTGGCAGGATCCACGCGTAGTCCCCTCCGTGCATCCCTAGTTTCCAAGTCTGGTAAAATACGAAGAAGAAGAAAAAAAAAAATCACCAGATACCAGAATTAATCGAATCACCGTTTCTTTTTTTTTTTTTCGTTTCTTTCGTTAGATAACACGAAGTTTGCACAACTTGCTTATTAAAAACTTTTTACATTGTTACATTACGTTGTAATAGCTTGCTCGAGCAGATGTTTTATTCGTGACGAAACGGCGAAACAGTTTTACTCGAAAATTCTCGCTTCGCGAAATATAATTGGCGCGTTCGTCGCTCGATCGTCGAGCGATTGTTGCTATAAAAAAAATTCCTGAAGAATGCAATTCGCGTCTATAGATATGCATTTCTGGTTCGTGGCTTGGCCATGGTGATCGCGAATACCAGGAATATTTACGATCACCCGATCGAGCCAGTGGACGAGGATTTCTTTTAGACCGAGATATCTTTGTAAAATATATTTCGCTTGTTTTCTTTTCTCTTTTTTTTCTCGTTTCTCCTCGGCTTTCGTTTATTTGTCCTCGTATACCGATTTATTCTTTTGTCTAGCGCGTACATAATAATATATTTGGTCACAACGTCGATCAAAGTGACAAATAAGTGACAAGCACGTCATTACGGTATTTTATCGCGTATCGTCATCGCATATTTCTTCGATGTACACGCAGTTTTGGTAACAAGTTTTAAAATACGATCTGTTTACACGTCGAAGTAAAAAAAAAAAAAAGAAAATTGTCGAAAATCGTCGAGTCTGTTTAAAATAATTGAATGATTTCGTTCAGACGCGTCACGAAACAAAGGATGCATTCGCTATTTATAAACGATATCGTTCGAAGCTGGGAAGTGTAGGCGTTATCTCTATTTTCGGTTGATTTATAGTAAAAACGTATCCTTGTTTCGAGTATGCGCGAAGAAAGGAAGAAAGCTCTGAATATCGACGATCCAATTCTGACCCGCGAGTATTAAATATTTGAAAGAGCGTCCAAATGAAGAAATTACAGATGTACGATCGATTCGAACATCTATCGATAAATTTCCTTTTTGACAATGATCGAGAAGAATATTTGCGTGAAAATTGAAAAATCAAGCACTGTGTTCGTTCACTTTCGCAGAAATACGAGATAAAATAAAAGAAAGTAAGAAAGTAAAAAATCTACGCGTGTTCTTATCGTACGACGCTTTTTCACAAATTTAAAAACAAATTTAGAATTTTTATAACACGCGAGGAATATACGAAGGGGCAAAGTGGATTTGACGAAAGATATCGAGATAAGAATTTTCTCGTGAAATTTAGGTGACGCGGTTCGAACGAATTTGGATTTCGATATGTGGATACAGTAATCATCGCGAACGCCAATTGCTATACGCAAAGCAATTTCATCCCGGCCGCGTCGTTGCAAAATTCGTTCTGCGCTTGTGTGTACCGTGTAAACGATACGGATGAAAATTTACAAACACGTACAATGTTCGTGTTACTCGCCTTCGTGGACCGACGATAAGATAACTCAAAGTAACTCGTCGCGATTTCTTCTAAAATTTGAATATCCGTCGTTCGAATCGTTACAACTATCATTTGCGCGCAAATCGATCGCGATAATTAAAAAATATTTTTCAAATAAATAAGTCGACGAAACGGGTTCTCGAGAAACGATTGGTTCTCGAAACACAAAGCCATCGAGATGATAATAGCGACGAAGAATATATCTGTCCGTGTACGCGTGACGAGCGAGGGATAGGACGAGAGAGAGAGAGAGAGAGAGAGCAATTGTGTCCTACTTCGACACAATGTTCATTATTCGCTTAGCGAGGACACGGACCGTGACCATGTGTTTGCATTTCATCGATTTTCGCCGGAAAATCGAGGCGTAAAGTTTTCCACGATGAACAAATTTCAATCTATCTATCGGTTAGGACAGAATCCAGTTTCCAAAAGCTTTTCGCCACGTGAACGTTCGAAAAAAAGTCGAAAATAATATATTTCTCGCCCATTTGCAACGTTGCACGTTGCACGACTCTTCCGATATGGCAATTCTGTAAAAATTTGTAATTGAACTGTCCTCGTGTGCGCCACAAATGCTCATAATGCTTCGAAACGAACCGTTCTCGTGGATTTTTCGAAAGGAATTCGGTACATTACGCTTTTATCGAGAGAGAAGAGATGATAAAAAGAAAGAGATGCGTAATATAAAATATTCTCTCCACTCGCGATGATATTCTTCCGCGAGTTATTTTTACACGATAATGATTTTCAACGAAACGATTATACGTTACGAAACGTTGTAACACGTTGTTTGAATTGATTCCGATTCCTGTTTGTAACACGATAAAATACGCGCATTTCTACGCTATTATTTTTAGTAATATCTATCACGAGATTAAGATCTTGAAAGCGAATTCCGGATAAAATTTGCATAAAGCTGCGGATGCGGTGAACGTAGTTAGAAGTTAACGCACACTTTGTTTCATGAAAACGACTGAATAAAACTTGGCTCTTGTGCCAGTGATGCCAATCATCATTCTTCCGTGCTGGAAAATTATTACAATTATTGTATATAACAATTACAAAAAAAAGAAAAAAGGAATGCGTGTTTCTCCCCCTGAATGGAAAAAATTTATCAACCACCATTTACCTCGCACAGAACGCGTGACGCCAATTGCGGCGAAAAACTTGCTATGATGATTCTCGTGTCCAATTCCTGCAATCGAAAAAAATAATTATTAAAGAATAATTATTACGAGACCGTTCGTTCGATCGCGAACAGAAGCAAATTAATTACGAACCGTGATCTTTCGAGATTCGCGCGACACGCACAAGTTGCGAAATTGCATACGCTCGAGATCCATACTTGGACGCGTAAGGGGAGGAAGCAAGGCGAATTTAAATTTCGAAGGGATTTCCGAACGCGAAGGGGATGAGATCGTAGACGTAGAATCGTAGAACAACTGGATCAATGCGATGCGGCAAATCTCTAACAGAGCGGCGGAGGAGAAAAAAATTCAATAAATTTAAGTCGAAGCGTGTGTTTTTACTTTCAAAGTTTTCAACTGCTCCTTGTAATCGTTCTCCGCGAACGTGATGGTAGCGGTGCACGTGATATTCGCTCGTTCCAGTTCCGTGACTAGATCGTTCACAGCCTGAAAAACGAAAAGTGGGAACTGCAACATAGCCCTTCGGGGTTTTGAAAATAAATACACGTCAAAATTACATCCACCGAATTTATTATTCTTTTCTTTCGGTATCGTCGATTTAAAACTTTATTTAATTCAATTCTAATCACTTCGAAACGCGATGCCGGAGAGGAGACATGTACACTTACCAGGGAGTACATGTCGTCGGTTTGAGAGAGAGCGGTGACGGTGTCCCATCCAAAATGTTTGATGAGCGCTATCCTAGCGGGATTGTGACTGGAATCCGGCGCCACGGTGCGCAAGAAGAGCGGAAATTCGGTGGAATCTGAGAGGGCGGGCGCCGTGGATCCAAACGAGACTTGTATCACGTTCCAGTAGCGCACGATTTTGGCCAAGGTTTCCGTGACCTCGGAACAGGCGGTGCCCAGCAACAACGGTATCAGATCGTTCTTCTTCGCCGAGTAGAGAGCGTGAAAGAATCTATCAACCGCCACGCCGGGGTCGCACTGAAAATAAACGCGAGTTGTTCCATACGATACATTTGCAAAACTAAATTCTAAAACCAGGGTACATCGATACATAGAGTTTGATAAATCGACGCGTTCGAAGATTTTCGCGTATTACGGAACGAGGTGGCTCTGGTATGGAAAGTAAGCAATTACTTTTGGCTTTCGTGATATAACGAGACAGGATCGCCGACACTTTTCGACATCGAGGATCGATGTACGTGTGTGTGTGTGTGTGCGCGCACCCGAGGTAAGAGAAGACGAACCGGTGAGCCTTAACGAGCAATTATTCAACGCGAGAGGGTGACTAGAGCGGACTCGAAAGCTCGTGCACGAACTTGAAGAGTCTGTCCGTCTCCACCGTGCACAGATACGAATAAAATATCTTTACAAATTTTTTCCACCCCTTTCCACCTCGAGTGTCTCGTTACACTTTCGTTTTCTTTGACGAAATTCGAAATTTCGTTACGGATTAATTCGTTTTAATCCAGCGCGAAAAGTTGCGATTATCCCGCACACGACTTTATATTACGTCCTGTGCACGTATCACCCTCGCATCTGTTTACGCAAGAAACGCTTCGTTATTCGCCTCGATCGTGTATCCAACTTTGTTATTAATTTTGCTATTGTCATATCTGGAAAAAAAAATCTGGAAAAAGAAAAAATAAATAAATATCGTATAGAGGATTAAAACGACAGATTCACTACGTTTCCACTACTTTCCTTCACAAAGGAATTCATAAAAGGAGTTGAAATATGCCTTGCAGCTCGATCCGGTATACACGGCGGGAAAGTTTTGCAGCGGAACGACGCGTTTAATAGGAGTAAATTAAATGGTTCGCATTTTTAACCGAAAATCGATCGATGCGATTGGAATTTCGTACGCGCGACAGCTTAATTCTCTTATTTTTTCCCCTCCCTCGATCAACCTGACGGAACATTCGAGGAATTTATTATCCACGGATAATTGCTCCTTTCCGCACGATTAATCGTAAATTTTAAAAAGGGAGAAAAAGTTGCTATACTTTTGCAACAATTTATGCTCCACAAAGTTTAATTTTAATTAAAATTTAAATTCCGCTAAATCTTTATTAACCTGTGATATCCCTTTATCCGAATTTACGAGGGGATCGAAATCGCAGCGGTTCACGAAAGATTCACGAAGGATTTTGGCTGAAACACATTTGATTAAAACACATTATCCGAACGTTGCCCGTTGTAATTCCAGTCGAAACAACCAATTTGCTCGAACGTTATTCCGAATTTTATGGATACGGGAAAAAGAAAGAAAAAAAAAAAAAAAATACACGAGCAATATCGATGAGAGAGAAAAACGATCGCATCCATTCTTTTTGCCAAGGAGAAAGGTGACGAAGTCTTAAGTCGGCCAAATGAAAACGAAAAAGGAATCTTGGGGGATGCGAAGGAAGGTTTGTTTAAAGGAGCCTCGGCTATTTATTTTCCCGTCGATGAAACCGTCGACGCAAAATAAATAGATAATTTCTCTCGAAACGGAGAAACGCGAACAACATGTGGGCGTCGTGCCCGATATACCTGTAAAATTTCCCTCCCCCATTTCCCTTTCCTCGAAACCAAAACTTATCAACGAACACGCGTTGGCGTTCAAATATTCAAGGATTCTGCAATTTTAATTTACCCTTAATTTACGCTGTAATAAACAAATAAATTTCTGCTTTCATCTTGAGATGATTTTGACGCAAGTTGCACGAGTACTACTTGATGATGATGTTACTACTTGTGCCCTGCTCCATTCCCAGCAGGGGGACAATCGCGTATAAAGCGTTAGATTGTTACAAAGTTTGAGAGAAACTCTGCCGCGACGTACTGCCCGGATAAACTGGCATTATCGAGGTAATGGAGAACGGGACATCTCGAAACGTTGTTAAACGAGGATAAATTTTTTTCCACCGACGTCTCGTCTCACCGCGAACTTTAACAGATATTTCTTTATAACATTAATCGGATTAACTGTCTCGTGCGCGAAAATAATGTTCACGGTTCGTTTCAACAAACTGGTTACAACGGCGATATATCAATTTAAAGTCGTATCCTTTCGACGCGGAGAAATTTTTTAGATTTCATCTTCGCAACGCACGTCTTTATTGAATATTCGACCGCTTTATCCCCCAACGATACGAATTTACCACGCAACCTGTACCTGTACAAGTTTCGACAGTGTAATAATCTTGAATTAGCCAACTTCGTATTAAAGTTGACTTTTCCGCGTAGCGAGACACAACTTTACCACTATTAGGATTACATCACCGAGTGACACAACTTCGCATCCAACGTGCGAAACATCCTTGCCGAACGTTGCTGCAATTTCGAATATTACCAACTGATGTTTTTTTTTTAATATTATTTATCGCTCGCGCGTCGATTCAAAATATATTACGTCGCACAACGGACGGAGGAAGAATATTTTGCGAAAAATTTTCGATCGATTAAATTCGCAAAACGTACCCTTTCTCCAAGATTATTCCGTCAATTTCCTCATTTACATTTTCCAAATATTCAAATATATTCCCGTCTTTGTACACATATTTTTCAAATCAAGTGTAACAAAGATTATCGATGGAATCTATTTTTTTTCATTCTACTTAAATAACGCGTGACAAAGCAATTTCCATATAATCCGTGGTTAATTATCGCGCGATTCGTGCAATTACGAATCGTTTTTGTTCATCGTATTTCATCGTATTCGAAAACTTGAATAACGCGGTTCAATCGTTAAAATTTAGGAGTTTTTGGTAATCCATACGTGAGCACCATTTACGACTACGCGATATGCCCACGTAAAATTTTCATTTGTCACGGCTGAAATCGATACACCTGTACGAATAAGATGAGACGTCAGAACGTCTAACTTTATAATCTTAGCAATAAATTTGAAGAAGAAGAAAAAAAAAAAGAGTCGAGAAACGTGATAAAATATGAGAACGAAGGATACTTATGAATTTTGAATTTTATAGGAACTAACTCGCTCGACTTTCCCAATTGTTCCTTCCGCGTATGACAAAGTATGCGAGAAAGAGCATTTTTTCTTTTTTTAATCGAAAACAACCACTTTTATCTCGTTTTATTTTTGCTCCTGCAGCGTATCAATCGTGATATTACCAAATATGGTGCAATTTTTTTCAACACCTTCTTTTATCGATCCAATGTATACATGTTTGGCGATTAAGAAACCCAAGTGTTTCGAACGTATTCAAAATGAAAGTTTCGATCGAGGCGAGACGATCGTAAAAGGATGGAATAGCCAAGATCGAAGGTAGCGATAGATATTTGAAGTAACAAGCGGTTGATTTATTCGTCCACTGCCTGCCCGCTCATTCACTTTCCTCTTCCACTTGGACGTATAATCGATTCCCCTCGCAAAGTCGCTAAAGATTTTTCCAGATAACTTTATCGCCACGAATCATCCTTCCGATCTTTCAATCGAATCCTATTTTTTCCTACCGTACATCGCGATTTATACCCCTTATTCAAGAATAAGGTTTGAAGTAAATGAAACGAAAATACGAATCCTATAAAATTATTCTTTGCATCGCGACGAAGAAATATAAAGAATTTTCTAATCTCGAAAATGTGTCGTGCGTGAATTTTCATGTAAATTTTCGTGTGATATTTTTCATACTACGTGTGTTTGACGTGTGTTGAAAACAAAAATAAAATTAAAGAATTAACACGATTAATCGAAATAGTCGCAAACCAGTCGAATTAAATAAAGATCAAATCTATCTCGAAAAACATTTTTACATCGATATAGATATCAAAATCTTTTCTATTCTATTTTGAAAATAAATGTATTTATCGTATCGTAATTTACCTCAGATTAACCCTATTAAAACTAAGAAAAATCTTAACTCCGTAAATAACAATTTCCTCTTTAAAAGCTTTTTTCATTTGTCGTCTCATATAGATAAATACCATCCAGTTTTTTTTCGAGATAATCGCGTAAAGGAAAAGGTAATTTTTGCGCGTTTCATTATCTCTGCCTTCGTCACTTACTCGGATTTCTCGTCTTTCGCGATTCCTCGGAAGGGAAGTAGTACTACGCATCTCCGAGAAAAAAATGTAGGTCATTTGGTCGGGGACCCATTCATAAATATTTCCACGCTGTCTCGAGCGATATGGATATACTTTTGTATATCTTCTCAACTGATTGACATATCGGGATAAAAGAAAGAAGTAACTTCGGTGGCATGATTTTCTTTGGATTCTCTTCTAAATGGCCAAAATTGAAGCTCGTGTACGGTTCGTTGTTGTGATATGTCAGTCACAACACAATTTTATGTAAAACTTTACAATTTCTTGGTCACGAAAGAGAGGGAGAGAGAGAGAGAGAGAGATTCGCAATAACTTGATTACTTGATTACTTGATTTATCGCATTTCTGTTAGATTAGAAAGAGGCGGTATAAATTTTCAACTTTTAAACAAATTTTTCATCCTTCGTTATTAGTTAATAATAACGAATTAGATTAAGTCGAGTATAGGAAAGAAAAACAAAATGCGGACAGTTCGACCAAAATAAAAAAGTTTTTGTAATCTTCTTACCAATCTTTCCAATTTAAATCTCCATAATTGGAAACGATCGGTATTTTTTTTTTTTTTATTTTACCTTATTCGATTATAATTGCTTCTTCCAAATAATTTCAAAGCATCGATGTACAATTTGTGCTGGACTATTCATCTCTCTCCGATGGAAAGACAAGTAGCCTCTATTCGGTTTCAACAAAACTTTTGCTGAAAAAAAAAAAAGGAAAGAAAAATAACGCAATAGCCGCGCGTCCTTTACGATCTTATCTTTCAGAATACTATAATCGAGACTACTTGGAAGTGCATTCGCAATCAAACGTTTCTATTTCGAACGCGTAGAAAAGTGCTTGCGTCTACGCGTTATCCCACTTCCCCCTCCCCCCCCTTTTTTCTACCCTCTTTATATCCAACTTAATCCGATGATACCAGTAACGACGTATCTTTCACGCTACTCACTTTCTGAAAAAATAAAGTTTTACTCTGATCATTCTAGCAGAGAGAAAGATGAGAGCCCATTTTCAAGATAATTACTTATTCGTTGAAACAGTTTTTTTTCATTAACGCTACTTTCGATCAATTGAAAACCGGATAACCTCATTTGTACAATAGACACATAAAAATCGGTCGCGCTAGAAAAGTATATTCGATTCTATTGGGGAAAATATTCGTATTACAACGGGGGGGAGAGACGCTTTCGCTCGTGATGCCGCACGGTAATAATTAGCCTCATGGACGAAAACTGGGGAAAGGACGAAGACAACCGGCGTTCTATTATCGCGTTTTATAACGCGTGTAAATTTTCGTGGAGCGAATTAACGAGGTCGATGCAAAAGCGTTTCTTTTTTTTTTTTTTTCAAAGGATAAGGATTGAAAAGAACAGAACGCGGAAAATATAAATACAAAAAATATTCAAATTATTCCGAATCATCGACGAGGACGAGCGTTTCATCTTCAACGTGGAATTGGTTATATCGCGTATGTACGACCGTTCCTTCCTCCAAATCCTATTTTCATCGAGGTGTTCATATATTCGTACGCATACGGTGAACAGAGAGAGAGAGAGAGAGAGAGAGAGAGAGAGAGAGAGAGAGAGAAGAGTAGTAC